TTCCTTATCTGACATGTCATTACCAAATACTTTTTCCCAGTCTGTGGCTTCCCTTTTTACCCTGTTGGAGAAGTTTTTGGATGTGTATAGGGATTTGATTCTCAGAAGGTCCCATTCATCTATTTTATTTTCTCCTGGTTGTAGGTTTTTCAGAATACTTGGAAGAGTGTTTATGTTGTGGTTTAGGACTTTTAGCATTCTGTCAAGCTTTCTGTAATGAAGATTATAGTCCTTGGTTTTAGTCCTAGGTCCATGATCCACCCTGAGTTGGTTTTTGTAAATGGAGTGAGGTGTGGATTGAATATACTATTAAAAAACATTTTTTCATATTTCATACAGTGTTTATAGACTGTGCAATAACATAAAAATATATATCTATCAGCTTCTAGCAATGATAGTTTATTTACTAATAATTGGTGTTCAGAAAATTCAGCAAAAAAAGCAAATATCTTAAATATCATGTTTAGAAATTCAAAGATTACAATTTTGTTGGATTAAAAACATCACCCTTGATTCACAGTTTTTTGTTTATTTTATTAGACAGACTTAAATCCTCTGCAGCTGTCGATGGCTTCTTGAAGTGCTTCTCTCATTCTTTTCATTTTTGAATATTTGGGCATATCCAGGATATAATAACATGTCAATGCTCTTAGGCTGTCTTTTTCAGTGAACGTATTAGGAGAGCGAAACACTATTCCACTTCTCTTTAAACCATTTACTTGCAGCCTATCAGTTCCTGTAAGGAAAACTAGGAAGGAATAAAATCCAATCAAGATTTTTCACTGTTAAAACTTTGAAAAGGAAAAATAGATGACTTCATTAGAAAAATAATTTGGAATCCTGATGCAGAGAACTATATAGGGCCATATAAAATGTAGAAAACTATATGACCTTTTGTATCAGTCAGGGGGGACATATATTAGAAGAAAGGATAATAAATAGCAAGATATAAGAAAATGGTCTTCACAATTACTTGCTGTGCATCAGAGAGCTGGACAATGACCAAGGATGACAGAAGAAGAATTGATGCCTTTAAGTTGTAACCCCTGGAGAAGAGTATTGAACATACTATGGACTGTCAAGAGACCTAACAGGTCAGCGAACTCTAGTGGCCTAGTGGCAAGAAGCTGCACTGCAGTCCCAGAGGTGCACAGTTCAAATCCACCAGATGCTCTGCTGGAGAAGGAGGGACAATCTCCTCCTGTACCAGTCAGATCTGATTTGACAGTACACATACAAAAATAGTATTAAAAAAATTAAATTAAAAAAACTAACAGGTCTGACCTGGAGAGGGGAAATCAAGCTGCTCCTTGGAGGCAAGGATTTTAAAGTTCCAGCTCACATACTTTGGGCATGTAGCCAGTAAGGACCAGTCTTTGGAGGAGGATGCCATAATTGGAAGGGTAGAAGGGCAGCACAGAAAAGGAAGACTCCAGATGAGCCAGACTGACACTGTAACTGGGGTGATGAGTGAGATTGGCTCAGGATAGAGCTGGATTCAGAACTATTTTACAAAGGGTTGCTATGAATCGTAGTCAACTCAATGGCACATAAAAATAACAACAACAGCATGAGCCAGTTTGATTTGACTTAATGGGAAGTATGAGATAGAAACTGTATTGGAGAGATGGAGGACAGGGGGAGAAATGTTTCTCTTTCTGTCACTACCATAGAGTAAGAACAGCTAATCCTCCACTGAGCTCCCAAGGACATAAATCATAGAGGAGAAGATTGCTCATCTTTCCTCTAAGGAGCCACTGGTGGATTAAACCACCAAAGAAGCATGGCCTTTGAGTTTACAGTGCTACTCCCTACAGAAGAGGCCACTGTAGTGATAACCATTTCACCAAGATCACTGTTGATTGTTGTTGTCAGGTGCCGTCAAGGCGAGTATGACTCATATCGACCCTATGAACAACAGATCTGAACCCTGTTCTATCCTGTGCCATCCTCACACTTCCTGACACACAAGAGCCCATTGCAGCAGTTACTGCATCAATCCACTTCATTGAGAGTCTTCCTCTCCTTCGCTGACCCTCCAACCTTCCCAACATCATGTCCTTCTCCAAGGAATAGCCTCCCTAACAACATGCCCAAAGTATGTGAGAAAAAGCCTCATCATGGCGAGCTCTGGTGGCCTAGTGGCAGGAAACTGCACTGCAATCCCAGAGGTGTGCGATTCAAATCCACCAGATGCTCTGCTGAAGAGGGAGGAAAAATCACCTCCTGTGCCAGTCAGATCCGATTTGACGGTACACACATAAAAGAAATAAATAAAAAAAAAATGAAAAAGAAGTCTCATCATTCTTGCCTCCAAAGAGTTCACCAAGTCTTCTAAGATCACTACTAGTTATTCAACAAAGAGGAGTTTAAAGAGGCAGAGAGAAATTATGTGAACACTCATTTTAAGTGAAAAGAAAAAGCTCTAGAAATAGAGACAGGAAAGTGTAAGGTCAACTGACTAAATGTAAGTCAGTGAAACCACTGAATGGAAACAACCATTTCATAAAAGAGAGAAGATCGAAAAAATAGTTTGGATGTAGTTAGAATGTCCTTCTCTATCCTGGATAGCAATAACAATGGCTAGAAAGAAAATGTTTGTTTAGCAAGAGGTAGCTGCTATAGACAGAACTGTGTCTTCTAAAAATATGTGTTTTCAATCCTAACCTCTACTCTATGTCTGTTGTTATAATCCCATTTTGGAATTTGTTTCTCTGTTATGCTAATGAGAGAAAAATATTGTCATAAGGTGTATTTTTGGTCTAATCTCTTGAAATAGAAAAGAGATTAAACAAGCAGAGATGGGGAAGATAGATACTAAGCTGTTCTTAATTCTCAAAAAAATCAGGAAACAAACTGAAGTGGTAAGGACCTTTCCCTTGGCTCAGTCACTCATTTCCTACTACTGTGTGGGAACTGAACAATAGCAGTAAATTGCACTGGAGGACACTGCCTATCTTTCTAAGGGGGTCTTTGGGTAGCTAATGTGCAACTTTCTACCGATTAAACCATCTTAGAACCGTCTTCTAGAACCAGTGCCCTGAATTTAGTTAGACTGCAGAGAGTTATACTTCTAATTCAAAGGCTTTACTCTAGCAGTTAAAATTCACTAGTGCCTCTGAGTGAGAAAGATGGGCAGTCTTCTCCCAGGTGATTCACACCCTTGCAAAACCCACTGCAATCTACGAAATCAGATCCACCTTAATGACAAAGAGAAAGGAAAAAAAAACACCCCTCTTAACTATGAAAAAAAAAATTAATTTCTATTTGTGGTATTTCCATGATAATGGCACTAGATAACAAAAACAGTGATGGAATAGGATGAGAATGGCAAACACTTAACTCTGTCCTAAGAAAGGCTTAGCGTTCCCACTAAAAAAAGCTCTTATGCCATGAGATAACACAGCTTAGTGATCAAGAGCCTGGAGTCAGCCTGTTCAACTAAAATTCTGGTTCTGACACCAACTAGCTGTCGGAACATAAACAAGCTACTATACGTGCTCTAAGACTTTTTGCACTTAAGTATGAAATAGGAAAAAAAATAATTGTGCCAGTCTGGTGGCCGAGTGGTAAGGAGTTGTACTGCTAACCTAAAAGAACGTAGTTCAAATCCATTAGCTGCTTTGTAGGAGAAAGATGGGAAATCTCCTCCCATGTGATTTACTGCCTCTGAAAACTTACTGGAGGATCAGGTATGGATTGGTTCTGACTCAACATCTATCCTGACAACAAGAACAACAACAATCTGATATAGTAAGCAGTATAGGGAGCGCTGGAGACCTAGTGGTAGGGAACTGTGCTCTCAGACCAACGGCACACAGTTTGAAGCTGTTCAATGGAAGAAAGGTGACAGTCTCCTCTCATGGGATTTACAGTCTCTTAAAAACCACTGGAGGGTCAGTTTTGAATCAATTCCAACTTGACGGTAAAAATACAAACAGCAACAGTCTGATGGTGCGTCCTGTATAGTACTTGACACAGATTAAGCATGCAATAATTGCTTTTGTTATTACTTTTACTACTATTTCAAGACAGGATTAGAGACTGTCTTTGAGTCCTGAGACATAGATATTAATGTAAGAACCAAGTACCAGGAACTCAGTTTCTCGTAAAGTACAGCTACCCCCACCTCACTCGCTTGAGTAGTTTCTAGCAAACAACCCCACCTTGTTGACTAACTGCCATGTCTTACACAGAGGTAAAATTCTTCTTCCTTGTAAGGACATAAGGGACTTTTCCCGCGCGGCCCTGTATCTGAAGTAACCAATCAGATTCAAATAGGTTTCCAAGCCGCTTCCCCACCAATCAGGTTCAAACAAGTCTCCAAACTGCCTCCCTGAGCTATAGCTAACCAATTGAAAGTAGACTAGTACCCAAACGACTATAGATAGCCAATCATAGCATGTATAGTTAGACAAAGAAGTAACAGAGTTATAAAAGGTAGAAGCTGGTGCCAGCTCGGGGCTCTCTGGTGAATACTGCTGTGTCAGCATAGGGGAGCCCGGGCTTGAACTCGAAATAAACTTTGTTAATTTGGCTAATTGGTTCGGTGGTCTTTTCTGGGGACTCGCTCCGTTACAATTAAGTGAAGAAAGAATTGGCATATAAAGGGTTCGATGAAGAGTCAACTGGATTCTTATGAAATCTAGATTTTTCTGGAGCCATAAAGGCTGGATGAACTTGCAATATCAATGGCCAGAAATAAGCTTTAAATCTTGAATCAAAAAGACCCTGAAGTCTTTTTTGAGTGTAAAGAATAGATTAATTAGTATTCCTGACTTAAGCACCGTGTTCTTTTTAAGAACTATCCATACGGATCAAATTGGCAAAAGCAACTAAAAAAATTAGACAGGAAGTTTACAGGGTGTGACTTTATGTTAACCAGAAAAGAAAGGTAAGAATGGCTGTGCAGCTTGAAGAATGTAATCAACGCCACTGATCAAACACATGGAAATTTTGGAGATGGTCTATGCTGTGTGTGGAGTACGTTGTATGTATTTTCAACCATAACATGACATCAATTCTCATTAACAAAAAAAAGAGTCAACTATTGCAAATTGAAAGTGGATTTACAATCAGTGCAAATGAGGCAGTAAGATTTCAATGTATTGTCATTCATGGAAAACCAGCTCATTGCCATCAAGCTAAAACGGATTTATAGCTGACCTTCCAGTTAGTTTTCAAGGCTGTAAATCACATGGTCATGTATTCCCCCCACCCTCACTTCCTCTCAGAATTGCTTGTGGGTTTGAACTGCCAGAAAGGCAAAATGAAACTCCCTAGGGACTAAGCCACCAGAGCTTCCCTTATTCCCCAGGAATACTTACTAAGGAATTTTTTCTTGTCATCCAAAGTTAATTTATGGAAAGCTTTCCAGAACATCAGAATAGTAGAATGTGATTTGAAGAACCCATCTTCATAGGTTGAATTCTTGAGAAGAGGGAAGGAAAAAATGGTTTTGTAGTAAATGTGGTAAATGTTTTTGAAAACTCAATGTGCTTTCAATTTCAGTTACCTTCTCAAATTCTTCCCAGTTATAATCAGTATTTCCAATTATTGCTGACCTTAATTCCTCAGGCTGGAAACACTTAATTATGTCTCTTTCGCAGACTGTATAAAAACCTTTCTGAAATTCCTCATAGACTTCTTTTACTGAGATGTTGAAGATATAATCAACATACTTAGAAACAAAATCGTTCCTTGAGGGAAGACAAAAGAAAGACGGCCAATGATGTATTTTATCACTGACTAAAATTGTCCATGCTTTCTCATTTACTACCAGTCTGTCTGTTTTAGTAACAATTACAACCCCAGAAATCCTATGAGGTTATTCTATTCTCTCCTACAGGATTACTATAGCTCAGAATTTACTCAGCAGTAGTGGGAGGTAATTACACACATATACACACCCCTTAATTTGAAAACAAACAAATTCATAATATAACAGAATACTTAGTGATTTATATCAATTTTCCATAGCTAATCTGCAATTAAGTGCTTAGTATTAGATACAAGCTTACTCTTATTTTTCTTTTTTATTATTTTTTTATCATTCACATACTTTGTGTTTCATGCATGTACATTATGTTTCATTCAGTCTTTCACTTTCATTAAATGCCATTCTCTTATATTATGGGGAGTTTTTGTGTTTGTTTTCTTTCTGATCCTTAAACACTTAAATTTAGACGTAAATTGTGACAGTTAAATTTACATTCCTCTAGAGTTCAGAAGAAGAATTTATGTCTTTGACCTGTAGTGTTGGAGAAGAGCATTGAACATCCCATGGATGGCCAAGAGAACAGACAGCTATGTCTTGGAGAGGGTACAGCCGGAGTGCTCTCTGGAGGCAAAAATGATGAGGCTTTGCCTCACATATTTTAGACATGTTGCTAGGAGGTGCTATTCCTGGGAGAGGAACATGGTGCATGGAAGGGTGGAGGGTAGGCAAAGAAGAACCTCAAACAGGTATACTGATACAGTGATTGCTGCAATGGGTGTTAGTGTGTCAGGAAGTGTGAAGATGGTACAGGACAGGACAGGGTTCAGATCTGCTGTTCATATGGTTGCTATGAGTTCTACTTGACACAACAGTACCTAATAACAACAACAAATTTAGACTTAGAAAGTTATCTGCACCTAGATTTATATGACTTACATACATTCCTATAGATGTCATTTGTGTCTTTTTAATTATAAATATATATGTTGTTGTTGTCATGTGTCATCGAGTCGCTTACAACTCATAGCGACCCTATGTACAACAGCCCTAAACTCTGCTCTGTCCTGTGCCAATCGCACTGTCTCTGATACACCCATCCTGATTACCCAAGTAACTGAATCAATACACCTCATAGTGGGTCTTGTCCTCCTGTGCTGTCTGTCAACCCTCCCAAGCATGATGTTCCTTTCCAAGGACTGGTCCCTCTGTATAATATGTCCAAAGTATGTCAGACGAAGCCTCAAAATCCTTGCCTCCAAGGAGCAGCCTGGCTTAACCGTCTCTAGGATGAATCTGTTTGTTTCCTTAGCAGTCCATGGTACACTCAATACTCTTCTCCTTCAAAGCAGCTTGAACTTCTTCCTTCATCACCAGAGGCTCTTGCTCATATGTTGTTTCATTAAATTCTTCTGTGTCTGCCAATTCCTTTCGATACAGTGACTCAGTATATTCTTTCCATCTTCTTTTAATACTCCCTGGATCATTTATTATTCTGACTAAAGCATCCTTGATTAGCAACTCGAGATTTGAATTTGTTCTTCAGTTCCTTGAGCCTAAGAAATGCTGAGTGAGTTTGGCCTTTTTGATTTTCTGACTTCAGCTCCTTGCACATTTCATTGTAATAGTTTTGTCATCCCACGCTGCCTTTTGAAATCTTCTGTTTAGCTCAATAGCATCTTGAATTTTTCCTTGTGCTTTGGCTTCTCTGCACTCCAGTGCAATCTTCAGAGTTTCTTCTGGCATCCATTTTGGTCTTTTCTTCCTCCTCTGTCTTTGTAATGAACATTTGCACTCTTCCTGGATAATACCCTTGATATTCTCCCACAACTCATCTGGTCTTCGCTCATTAGTGTTCAAGGTCTCCAACCTGTTCCTGAGATGATTCTGAAATTCAGGTGGGATAGACTCAAAGTCATATTTTGGTTTCCATGGATTCAGTTTAATTTTCCACAGCTTCACCTTGAAGTTGTATATGAGTAGTTGGTGGTCTATTCCACAAACAGCTCCTGGCCTAGTTTTCACAGCTGATATTGTGCTTCTCCAGTGGTTCTTTCCGCAGATGTAATCAATCTGATTCCTATACATGCCATCAGGTGATAATAAATATATATATATATATATATTCTGGCTGTCAATTTCTCTTTCCTTCTACCTATGCATTATAAATTGAACTATGTCCTCTCTAAATATATGTTCTAAATTCTCACCTGCATCAATGTTGATAAAATGTAGTGAGGATATAGAGTTTTCTTTAACATGTTAATATAAGTACGCCATTTTAAGGCATATCTTGAGATATAAAATAGTTCAGGCACAAGCAGCCCAAATAAAGAGACTAATACCAAGTAGAGACCATCGAGGACCTAAGGAAGAGAAACTGAAAGACACACAGATTTTCCTACCAGAGAAGATGGAATCTTGTAGAGCTGGTGCTCTGAACTTGAATTTCTAGCCTTCCAAATTGTGAGAAAGAAATTTTCATTTATTAAAACCACTCATTTGTGATACTATTATACCAAACTAAACCCCCAAAATGCCCCATTGGCCATAGATGGATTCCAGTTCTTTATTATGCAGCTCATGAATACATTCTACCTCATAGCAACCCCATGTGACAGAGTATAACTGTCCCCCTGGGTTTTCTAGGGAGTCTTCTTCAACAAAGCTTTTTCATTTAGAGCCGCTGGATAGCCATGAACTGCCAATTGTGAGCTGAGTGTTTAAACTTCCAAAGGAGTGCTTAAATTACCAGGACTCCAAAGTGTTTGTTAAATGAATATATAGTGAACAACGCTTATCTAATCCTATATCTTGTCTCCCCTTTTATTACAATAAAATCTGTTTTCCCTTTCTCAATAAAGAGTAGTTGAATTGCTAAACTGAGAAGGAAAAAAATATTTTTAAAGTCTAATGATATCAATGTTGTATATGAATTCAAGCACCTAATCTAATTCTCAAAACTTACTTATTGGTGTGGTCAACACATACAGCGCTTCCATTTGGAATCAAATTAACAACATTTTTGTCCCAAGATATCTGCAATATAGATACAAAACATGAAATAAAGTCTAAAGAATCAATTACTCACCCCATTGTTGCTAGTACATTTTTTCCTTAAAGAATTTAAAGGAGCTTAAACTATTGTTGTAGTTTGGCCTTTTAAATAAACATAAAAAAAATAAACAGATGTCAGGACATTCTACCCCAGAATAGGTAACACCTCATTTTAAGAATAAATTATTCCATGCACACCAATGTTTACTGCAGTTTTGTTCACAATAGCAAGGAGTTGGAAACAACCTAAGTGCCCATCAACAAATGAATGGATAGAGAAGCTGTGGTATATTCACAAAATGGAATACTACACTGCGTTGAAAGACAAAGCACTCATGCAATATTAAAAATGTGTGACCCTGGAGGATATTATGCTGAAGTATCTCAGTCACAAAAGGACAAATATTCATGGTGCCACTGTTGTAAAACAGGACTGACATCGGGGTTGGGGGGAGACTGAGAAAGATGGGATAAATAATGTATACTGCATTGAAACAGATAAGGAAGAAAACTGCTTAAAAGTGATATGTGATTAGGTATTTTTGTCATGACAGGAGTCTAGAACAAAGGCTGAATACTGGAGTGGACCTGGGGGGGAGGGATTGTAAAACAATGAAAGAATTTTTCGTTTACTTTTCCAAGAGGGTAGTGCACTAGTGGGGAGGGATGGGAGGAGAGAAAAGTGCAACAATGAATGAATGGAAATCCAAAGTCTCTGTAAATGTTCATTTAAATAAAAAATAAATTTTTTATAAGAGAATAAATTATTCCATTTATTTGTAACATTCTTCTCAGCGATTAACAACTATTGTACCTTTACTCTACTTAAAAATATTAAAAATAGAAAATAAATGAATGAAGGGTGAGAGTACAGTCCCACAGCATTGAAATCAAATATCCTCCGAAAAAGGAAGCATGCAGCCAGAATGAAATGAAAGGGAATGATGACAAATTGTGAAAAACTTAACAAAGATCATGGAATAATTTGTGTAGAAATTGTTAATTGGATACTCAATCTGTTGTGTACAACTCTCACCTTAAACTTATCACTTATTTTTTTTAAGGCAACATAGTAAAGAGAGCTTTATTAGAAACCCCAAAGAGATGGACCCCCTCCTTGGAAGGAAATACAGAGGAAAGGTGCTTTTTCTTAAAAAAAAAAACACAAAAAACAAACCACCAAAACAAAAACCAAAAAACAGCAAGAGAACATTACAGAATAGTTTTTCTCTGTAACACATGGTTTCTCCATTAGTTAAGAACAGACCCAATACAATGGCTTTCCCCCCTGTTCTTTACATGAATTAGAATTATCTGGTCGTGGGTAATTTCTGTTTCTCCTCTACTTCTTCTTTAAAAGGGTTTTGGCAAATGCTTTTAACCTCTTAGAGCTTATTTTCTCAGTTTGGGTGGGGTTTTTTTTGTTTTTGTATTTGATGGGCTTTGGAGCTGGCATCTGGGCCAACGAGACAATGCCATGGAGAGTTCAAAGTTAAGTGGGTGGGTCTCATTCTGGTCCCTGTTCTCTGATGTCATTCATGCACCCAAAAGGTCCACTGCTTTTGACTTATTATTTATTTTTAAAAGGCATTTTCAATTAGAGTTCTTAGTTGCTTTTGAATCAGCTGAGACTTTTTGGAACTCCCATGTGTTTAGAGCAGAACTGTTCCACAGGGATTCAAGGCTGTGTTACCTCTGGAAGCAGATTAGCAGAACTTTTTTTCCCAAGAGGCCTCTGGGTGAGCCTGAGTGACCAACTTTTTGGCTTATAGTTTGAGTATATCTTGGATATTTGCAATTTAAGATACTATTGAATCAATAAAGCCATTCTAAATGCAATCAATGCCAGTAAACTGTATGTGTGAAAAACATGGAATTAATACATATACAAATATATATTTATGAAAAGCAAGCAAGCAAAAACCCAGCCAACCACATTAAACTATAATGTAACATTCATTAGTACTCACAGAAAACGTTATGCAGAATGCTTCTCTAATGTCATCAGCTTTATAATTTAGAACGTCTTGCAAACCCCTAATGAAAATTTTGGTTTGAAAATTTTATTAATTGATCTTATAAATGTAAAAATTTGTTGAAAAAAATATAGAAATGAGACAAAGTCTGAACCCTTACTATTCATGCCATGCAATGCAAATTTCCTCTCTTCCATGCCCCCATTCCCTTTTCCTAAAGCTACCTTGTCTGGAGAGAGGATGAGAGACACCCAAGCATTGAAGACTCTCCTTCATAGGGTCATTATGAGTCGCCTGCAACTCGACAGCACTTAACAACACCAACAACCTTGTTTAAAGGGTAAGTTGTTGGAGAATTCATCGCCTTCTAGTAGTATGGAGCTGCACTGCTAACCTGAAGACATACAGTTTGAACCCACCAGCTGCTCAGAGGGGTAATATCCTCTTATGCGATTTACTGCCTCTGAAATCCTGCTGAGGGGTCAGCTAAGAGTCGATTCCAACTTGATGGCATACAACAAAAAGAGAAGGCATACTTGATTATGTAACAACAAGAGACATCTTAAGATCTGGTGGGTTGAGGGGCAAGGAATTGTGATGCCAATCCAAATGCTGGAGGTCCGAATCCATGAGCTGCTCCACAGGAGAAAGCTGGGCAATCTCCTCCTATGCAATCTACAGCCTCTGAAAACTCCCTTGAGGGTCAGCTATGAGTTGGTTCCAACTAGATGGGATACAGCAACGATAAGAGACATCTTTGATTATTGTGACCAGGGAAGGGTTGCTACTGACATTTGGTGGAAATGATACTCCACAGCCTGAATGCAGACAGCCCTTGACTACCAGCAAGGTGTTGTTGTTGTTGTGATTGCCGTCAAGTTGAGCACAACTCATTGTGACCCTATGAACAAAAGGCCTGAAGCCTTTCTATAACAATTGTCATTTATCAAAGTTCATGGAGTTTCCAGAGGCATGTAGTTTAGGAAGTGGATGCTACTCCTGCTTCCAAACTGGATACCAGAAGTCGTCAGTCCAAAATGAAGTTGATAAATCCTGACCCAAACTGTCTAGGCATGCAGTGTGAATATAAGTATTAACAGTACATGAGAACAAAGAATCCTCTTCCCGAGTCTGTTGCTAACCCTGTATTTGATATTAAAAAAAATAACCCAACTCAACCAACCCCCCTCCATCTTTACCAGCTGTCAATCTGTAAGCAGAAAATGACATCTAATATGGATTTCTTAAATTATAGGGAGGCTGAGCATATTTTCATCTTCAGATTATGTATCTGTTATTGTTATCAGTTGTTACACTATACATAAGAATACATAACATCTATTGTTGTTTTTCCTCAAGTCATGAAGACCATGTCTGCAGAGTAAAACCATTCCATAATGTTTTCAAGGCTTTGGCCTTTAGGAAGCTGATCATGTCTTTCTGGACATCTCTGATGGGCTTCAAACCACTCAACCTATTGACAAATACTCAAGAGACAAACTGTGCCACCCAGGTTTTATGTTTTAACTTTTTATTGTGATTTGAGTGAATGTTCACAGAGCTGACTGGCATTCCATTCAACCACTGATTAAAATCCTACATTGTGTCAAGTCCTCCTTCCATCTCTCTGTGCTTCTTGTTTCAATTCACCCTTCCAACCTCTCCCTTCCTGCCTTCTGATCCCTATGGCTAGTGCCTCACAAGTGTCACTGTCCACTGTTATGAACCTAGAGGGTTGAGTTCAATTCTGGGCTCAAAGGCTGGTTCTAAGAACTATAAATTTCTGGGAATACACCATCAGACCTGTTGTAGACCACTGAGTTGATATCAAGTAGTAAATTGCATAAGATTTGATTGCCTATCTTTCTCCTGCAAAACAGTTGGTGGATCCAACCTTTAAACCTTCATGTGGAAGCTACTCCTTACCACTAAGCCACCAGACTAATTTTGCTCTCAATATTCTACCCAGCATAATACTTCAAAGTAAAGGGTCTCAGGTCAGATAGTCCTGAATTCAGAACCTGGTTTTGTTACTTGATCTTTCTATGTTAATTGGACATTTATAAATTTGACTTACCAAAGACAACATATCACAGTAACACACACACACATTTATATAGGAAAATATATTTTATTTCTTTGTATTACTGTTGTGTACCATCAAATAAGAATCAACCCATAGCTGACCCCCCAGTGGGCTTTCAGAGGCAATTAATCTCGTAAGAGACTGTCTGTCCTTAATCTATGGAGCAGCTGGTGGATTTGAACCACATGCCTTAAGGATTGCAGTGTAACTTCTTACCTCTAAGCCACCAGAGCTGCCTATGTGTTATGTGTGTTATAACACATATTGTAGTTCCGTGTATTACCTCACACACACACACACACACACACATATATAGGGATCTCTGGTGGCCTAGTGACAAGAAGCTGCACTGCAAAACGAAAGGCATGCAGTTTCAACCCATCAGCTGCTCCGGAGGAGAAAGATGAGCAATCTCCTTCCGTGTGATCAACTGCCTCTGAAAACCTGCTGGAGGGTCAACTATGGGCCAATTCTGACTCTATGGTACATGACAACAACAACAACATATATGCATATATCAGGGATCCTTTGTCTATAATATATGTTGCCAGTAATATCTTCACAGGATATAATTTGCCTTTTAAAACAAGTATTTTTTAACACTTAAGAAAGAAATTATTACATATTGAAATATTTAAGCTAAGCACAGCACAGATGTTTCTCACTAAGGATATTGTATACTGTCCAAAGCAATTATTCCCATGAGAATAATTTAAAGGATCAAGTCAAAGTCTGTGTATCAAACCAGTACCAGCTGTCATTGAGTCAATTCTCCAACTCATGGTGACCCATAGGTGTCAGAGTAGCACTGTATTCCATAAAGTTTTCAATTGGTTATTTTTTCAGAAGTATATCACCAAAATTTTCTTCATGAGGTAACTCTGAATGAATTTAAACTGCCAATCTTTCCGTTAGCAGAAGACCAGTTTAACTACTTATTCTCTCAGAAACTTCGTTTACTGTATTTTATTGTTTATTGTCATTTATACTAGAGAAGCATATGGCTTGTCTCCATTTTTGAAGGTTTATTCTATTTCATATTGTTGTTAAATACCATTGAATTGGAACCTGCCCACAGCTGACCTTCCAGTCAGTTTTCAGAGGTTTTTAAACTGCACATGAGGAGAGGGCTTTACGTTCTCCCATGGATCAGCTGGTAGATTTGAACTGCTTGCCATTGGACTGGCAGCACAACCCCTTACAACTAGGCCACAAGAGCTCTTTCTATTTTACTTAAAAGTCATGTTAATGTTCACATTTATATATGTGCATATATTTATTGAAATTGAAAAATCTTCTCTGTATAAAATATTATTCATCTGTGCCTAGACAACTGAAATTTACTTAAATAAAACTTAAATAAAAGTCTAGGAAAGTCAACTATAGTTACTTACATCTCCAAATCAGGTCTGAATTCTTTTAAATCTTCCAGTGTCGGTTTTTGGTCTAGAAGCTTCTTAAACAAGGCCAATGGGAAGGGAAGGTTGACAACATTTAAATTGAATAGAGAGAGGCCACATAATATCCCAAAAAGAAAATATTTCTCCTTCTTAAATTTTGGCTGGGGAAAAAAGAGAAGGAAAAATAATTCCTAATGTATTATAAATCATCAATAATAAGGATAATTAGGTAACATTTTTCTAGTTTTTTAAAAGTTATTAATTGGAAACAAAATAAACTCTAGGGGGAATGCAAGTTCTCATATAGACTATAATACAATTTAACTTTTCTCTGTAGTTTTAAATAAAAATTTATATAGTTCTGGACACTAAATAAATAACATTTTAAATTTTTTTTCACTTACACAGATCTGGAATATAAAATAAACTTCTCCAATAGCCTTACAAGTTGACGTTTTCTTTATATACTTTATCCCCTTTGTTTTCACATTTATGTTGAAACACACAGGGCCTTGAAAGAGGTTTGAACTCTTGCAGAAATACTTGTATTTCCACCCATTTACTGGACATCTGGTGAAAAATGTAGATTCTGATACAATCCATCTGGGTTGAAAATGTACATTCCCAGCCGGGGTTTCAACCAGAACACAACTGGTTTGAAGCACTTCTTCCCACACAACCAACAGAGAAAGCCTTTTCCTAGAGCAAGTCACTCTGCTGGTATTTCTGTTACCAGTGGTAAACAGCCACTAGGACACCTTCCAGGGGTATCAGACATGTCAGCTGAGTGCTTCAGCAATGCAGTCCACAGCACTGGTATGTCTACTGAGTAAAGTGAATGGGGCAGGGATGGTAACATTCCTAACAGTGAAGGTGGGTCCACAGAAGAAAGAAGGGGAAGAGGCAAAAAACCTGACACTGTTGGCTTCACTCCTTCTTACTTTGTGGTCCTGGATGAAAGGGAAGACTGACTTCATCTGTCTAGGCCATCACTGTAGCCCACCAGACGACTCACCAGCCAGCACCATCCTTTCTGTTAATATGAACATGATCTTGGGACACTTACAAAATAATCCATGCCTCAATCTACTTGCCCTGCTAATTTCTGAGAGAAATTGTGTTATTGTTGTTGTTTACCATGGAGTCAGGACGAACCCATAGCTGACCTTCCAATGGGTTTTCAGAGGCAGTAATTGTACAAGGGGAGATTGCCCATCCTTCTCGCGTGTAGCAGCTGGTGGATTCGAACCGCATGCCTTTGGTATTGCAGCATAGTTTCTTTCCACCCACCCGCCAGTGCTCCTTAGAGTAACTGTAAAATGGGCGAATCAGAAATTGGCTATCTACTATCCAGCCGTGTAGCATAGGTGGCCTTGTGGTAAGAATCCGTGCTGCGATCTAAAGTCTTGTGGTTCAAACACACGAGTTCGCTTCTGACTCTGTGACACACAACAGAGTTGGCTTAAAGTACAGGCTTAGAGGTTAGAGCATCCTGAAATCACCTTTCAGCTTCATCACTTGGTTTTTGTACACCTTGTGGCAAGTGACTTAATCTCTTTGGATCTCAGTTTCTTCACCTATCAAACGGATATAAACAACCTATCTCACAGGATTGAGGTAAGGCTTATTTTTCTTTTCTGTATCCTTCACTTGCATCTCTCTCAGATTCATTTCACATCTATCCTGAAACATCAGTCTCCACTCTCAGCTTCTCTGTGACACTTTCCTCAGCCTCATCAGTCTCCCTTCACTTATTTCTGTAGAAGAAGCTCTTACATTTTTATGAGGGGTTCTGGTGGCATAGTTCATAGGACTTGTGCTGCTGAACCAATGGCCATGCCTCTGTGTTCTATTAATGAAGTCATGTCAGTGTTGAGTATGTTTGTTGTTGTGTCCTGCAGAGTCAGAACTGACCCACAGCTGACCCTCTGGCAGGTTTTCAGTGGCAGTTAATCCCAGGGGGGAGATCGCCCATCCTTCTCCTAAGGAGCAGCTGGTGGCCTTGAAGCGCGTGCCTTCAGGATTACAGCACAGCTTCTCGCTACTAGACCACCAGAGCTCCCTAGTAATTTAAATTAATCACTTTTTAGATTTTTTTAAAAAGGAAAAAGCAGCGCAGGCATAAGAGAAAGCAAGGATATATGAGGGAAGATTGATACTATCTGATGTTCTCTAGAAATATCACCAAGACAAATGCTAAGTAAATCAAAACAAAGATTTCCCCCAGAGGAGAGAGACTTTCCCTCCAGCCAGCATCCTCATTCAGACTCCTGATCTTCAAAACTGTGAAAAAAATAAGGTCCTGTTTCAACTGACATGGGGGTTGGAGGGAAAATAAGAAAAGAGGGATAAATAATGTGTACTGCATTGAAACAGATGAGGGAAAGAAATGTTTAAAAGGAATATATGATTAGGTATTATTTGTATGACAATGGTCCAGAATAAGAGCTGCAT